GACCTAATTTTTATTAAGAATAAAGAAAAAAGAAAAGAAAGAATTAAATGCCACTACACAGCGTGCCACATTTCATGTAAAAATATATTTTACATGAGATTATTCTATCGAAATGCGCGATGTATGACAATGATTACAGAAGTAAGCACCTCGATATCTCAAACTCTTCGAAGTATCCATGTCGACTGTCACTTAAAGACTGACGTCTACACCTTCTTTATGGCACGATGTCATCTTCTATTCAACAAAAAATATCTCTCGCGCATCCTCTAAATATAAGCTTAAAAACATTCAAAGAACAATTTGTAACAAAGTGTTTTAAATATTCTGCTGCACTGTGACATCCAGTTTTCGTTCCCTCGGCATAAAACATTGCAAAGTATTCGCGGATAAAAAATTTCACAACAGAGGGTCGAAAAACGGCGCATATGTACAGAGAATTATAGAAGCGTGAGAATATGACACCTGTCATATTCTCACGCTTCTATAATTCTCTGTAGCTTATAACTTTGCTGTATTCGGTAGTAGAAGATATATATCATTTGTCATATTTATAATAAGGCAAATATTTTGCAAGCTCTTAAACTCTTATATATTTGCTTTATTACATATAATAAATCAAATTTTATATTAGATTGTGATATAATTATTATATATATAATAAGATTGTTTTATGTCAAATAATAAGTATTGAATAGATGAATTTAATTTTAAATTTATAAAAAATATAAGTATGTAGATTATAATTTTTATTTTAATTTAATTTTAGATTTATCCTTACTTAATAAAATTCAAAGAAAAATTATTTTTTAATTATAAGTTTATTTACAAATAACACAACTACTTACACAGTTATTAAATTACTATATTTTATGAAGAATCGAAATAAGAAATCTATGAATATAAAAAAAATGTTGATTTATTTCCTTTCTTCATTATACTCTTGTCGTATGTAAAACAGAAATATAACCAACTGAAGTTTTTATTAACTGAAAATCATATTTTTGCAAATGAAACGATTAATACGTAAGTAATGTTGATATAGAAGATAAGGTTCAAGATTATTTATAGAAAAACAAATAAAATATACATTATAAAATAATATGGTACAAGTTATTTTACAAGAAATTTCAATAAAGTACAAATGCTTTTAGTGGAAAGTTAAAATCAAATATTCAAATATCTTACACTGCAGAATGTAGCCATTGTCATAGGAAATATTTTTCCAGCGGTGAGATAAACTGGTTTATTGCCTCTTATTAAGAAATCAACAAGTCTTTTGTAATTTTTGGATCCATAGAGTACCATTTATTATTATATCCCGCATAATATACTTCATTACACTTCAAAATATGTTTGAATATTAAATATTATTATATATTTCTTTACAAGAAAACAGAAATATTAAACATAAATTATTTATTTACATATTCATATAAATTATAAATTGATTTATAATTACATTAATAATTATAAAAAATAATTATATTATTCGTGTAAAATATAAATAGTTTATTAAAGCAGAATAAATGATTACTTTCTATCTTTTGCAATATTACTACATAGGAAATCTTTATGAAAAATTTTCTACATTTTTACAATATATTGCGGAGCAATTTATATTTTTACTAGTTTCAAAAGCTAATGTTAATTTTTATTAATATTTTTATTAATATTAGACTTA